TTGAAATCAATGGGTTTAGTCTGGAGCAGGGGTGGCCAAACTTGCTTAAGGTAACAGCCACACAGAATAAACATCAGATGTTTGAGAGCCATAAGACATGATCAAATATTACACACATGTTTTTATTGAAAAATATGCAAATTTGCTTTTTATTAACATTAAATTAGACTGTGTGAAAGAGCCGCATGCGACTCCCAAACTGCAGTTTGGCCACCCCTGGTCTGGATTAACCCCACAGGATTGCAGTGTAAATGTGTATTTCAGTCCCACTAGCTTGATTGAAACTTAGTTCTGGGTAACATTTTCTGGATTGCACCCTGTGTGTGGTCGATGAAATGCTTACCTTCTAGAATGCTTCTACAAGCTGTGAGCCTCTCTTGAAATGAGCAGAACTGTGTAATTGAGTTTTTGGCTCATAATAGTTGTTGTGGTCTGGCATATTATGCACTGCCTATTGCCGTAAACATTAAACATTTACCAAGAAGTGATTGCAATAGAATTGTAATCAGATTTTTTTAATGAACATCATTATACAGCTGAAGAGGAACTGGTTGTTTCTTTCTCCTTTTATTGACAAGTGGAACATGCATTTACCCTAATTCATTCACATGTTTTAAACATACCAAAGTTCAGTTAGAGTTTTGAGAGAGCGAAAGCAGAAAATAAGTATTGTTTATGTTGTACTCTTACATTTGTTATTAAACAAGGCCTATCAGTTGTTTGATAAATTAGGGTGTTAGAATACAAAACATGTGATAACAGATTTGTCTCCCCCAGAACTCTTAACATGCTATCTTAAATGGGAAAAAGTCATCTGTTTTATTTTTGAAGATTTAAAACATTGTGCAGGCATCTGACAATTGAAGAGAACCAGTGACAATCCCAAGGCTTGGTTGCAGGCAGTCAAGAATGTTATCCTTCAAGCTTGCCACAGGGATAAATATAAAATAGCATTGTAAATATCTGGAGGAAAAGCAGATGTTACTGCAGGCAGGCTTCAGCAAAAGGGAGTTGAGACAAGGTTGGTGATCATTTGGGGCTGGTGTCCAAATGACAATAGCAAGAGACTTGACAAGATCGTTTTCCTTCCTGGTTTGACTGGTAGCAGTAAGAAGCATTCAGTCTCTTCCATGGAAGGGTATGTGTAGGAAAGGATTTGGACCATTGGTGACTTCTCTCCTCCTCACATAGGCTAATAACTCATAAGCTGGTTCTAGGTAGAATTGTCAACCTCCAGATGGGGTTTGGAATTTTCCCCAAATTATGACTGATCTCCACACTGTGGCTTACGTATATGCAATAGCTAGAAACAACAATATAATAAAAACTTTGAATCTTAAAACAACAACATAAGGTGCTAATAATAATATAAGTAACGCTGGTGAAGGCAGAGTAGCATCAACACACTGGTAAATGCAGTCAGTATTAGATTTTAGTGTTGGTGGAAGTCAGGCTGTTGGTGATGGTATTGGGCCCAGGGCCTTGGTGTGTTGGGTGCGGCTCCTTCATTAAAGGCCTGGTGGAAGAGCTCCATCTTGCAGGCCCTGCAGAACTGTAAAAGGTCCCACAGGGCTCTACTGGGAGCTCATTGCACCAGCGTAGAGCCACTACTGAAAAGGCCCTGCCCCTAGCTGATGCCAGCCTGACGTCTTTAGGGCCCGGAAGGGCCAGACGGTTTTGGGATCCTGACCACAGTGCTCTCTGGGGAACATGTGGGGAAAGGCGGTCCCTCAGGTAGGTAGGCACCTGACCATAAAAGGCTTTAAAGGTAAATACCAGCACTTTGAAGTGAATCCAGTATGCTATAGGTAGCCAGTGAAGTGCTTTTAGTGCAGGCTGAATGTGCTCCCGCATAGGGAGACCCAACAACAGCCTGACAGCTGCATTCTGCAATAGCTGAAGCCTCAGGATTTGGGTCAAAGGCAGCCCCATGGAGAGAGCGTTACAGTAGTCTAACCTCGAGGTGACCATTGCATGGATCACTGTCACCAAGTCGTTGTGTTCAAGGAAGGGAACCTACTGCTTGATCAGCCGAAGGTGGTAAAAAAGGCTGACTTAGCAGTGGCTGCTACTTGGGCCTCCATCATTAAGGAGGCATCCATGAGCACTCCCAAACTCCTAACCTCTGTTGCTGGCACCAACGGTGCACTGTTGAAAGTTGGAAGTGGAATCTCTTGTCCTGGGCCACCCCAACTCAAGCACAAGACCTCCATCTTCGTCGGATTCAATTTCAATATCTGTAGCAGAACATTGACCCTAAATTTATATAGCTATAGTTGGCCACATTTTTTTTCTTTTTCATCCAAATGAAATATTAGTTAAAAGCTAATGCCGATATTGAGAGTGCAGCTCTAAGTTGTAAGGCATACTTGAATGGAATTTTAGGTAGTTTCTTCTAGAATACCCCACCTTAGAAAATATTGTTTCCTTTTATGAAACCGTATGGCAAATATAAATATTACTCTAGCAGCAGCTTCTCAAACATTTGTATTTCCAGAATAATGGAAGTGGTTACTTAGTAGAAACATTTCTTAGAATGGTCTCTGTTCAATTAAAAATGAATTAACTATGGATGTTACTTATTTAAGTACATGAGAACTGTTCTTTGTAGTCAATTGAAGTTGCTGACTTTAGAGAGACAAAGATTTACATAGTATCTGGGGGGGTGCCTTTTAAATTCATATCAATACTTTAAAAATATTTTAGCCATTGAAAAAGGTAGCCCTCAAACTGGTCAGCAAACTTTAAAATATATTTATATACTTTTACAAAAGCTGCAGTGAGCAGACATGACATTCTCTGACTTCCAAAAATGAATGACTTTAGGTTTGTGCTTGTTAACCTAATGCGTAATCTAAAAACAAAACTTCTGTGTGCAATAGTCCTTCAGAATATTGTTTTGATTCCTATGGACATCGTTTGGTAAATCTTAGCTATTTTGTTACCTGCTGGATGTCTAGATCAGGGGTCCCTGACCCTTTTGAGCCTGTGGGCACCTTTGAACATCTGATACAATGTGGAGGGCACAGCCACAAAATGGCACCCACAAAATGGCTGCTGCAGGAGATGGAGCCAGGTACAAAATGGCTACGGCAGGTTATCTTCACTTTCAATGAAGATTCTTCTGGGATGGTGGCAGCTGCTTTTAGAGCATTGTTTTTCAAAATCTGCTCAGGCAATCAAATCTCCAGTGGTCAATCAGAAGTCTTGCTTGGTAAGAGCCCCACGTCGTCTTGCCCACTTTCTAAAAGCACTCAGTGGATACCAGGAAAGGTGTCAGCTGGTGCCGTGGTGCCCACAAGCACACTGTTGGGGATCCCTGGTTTACACTGGAATAAAAAATAGGCACAATTTAAGAAGTATTGATTATGTTTACCTGTTTTTTTCATTACAAGGAATGCGTGTATCTAATTGGATACTAAGTCTAGCTTAGAATTTTAACTTTCATTAAATGGATTTGTTTAGTTGAAGAACACTGTGTACTTCAGTAGACTAAACTACATGCTATTTGAAAGCTCTCTGATTTAAACCTTTCAAACATTAAAAAAAGCCAGCACAGACAGTGGAGTGGTAGAGAGACAGATGGATACCCATCTGTATCAGTCTTTCTGCGTTTGACCCACACTGTGGCTAACAGTAGCTTGGGGGGGGGCATTTTGGTGGAGAAAAGGGTAAATCATCCTGACCATAGTGTTGCTACCCCAGCCCTGTTACTTCTGTCCCACTGTAGCTGCTCTGAAGCCAAATTCCATAGAGTCTTATGGCATAGGTGGGTTAGACCCCTTACTCATATGGGGTTGTATAGCAAAACTCCTACTGTAGTCCTCTTTCCCCCAATATTGAAGCCTTTTAGAAATATTTGGGATGTGAATTTGTTGTATAAAAGTTATGAGAAAAATTTACTCCCTTATACAGAAGAACTAGAAGTCTAAATATAGGAGTCATTCTTAATGTATGTTAACTTTGCAAGAGTCTTTTATAAATGATGTTTCAAAGTAAAAACACACAGATCTTGGAAGTATAGTGTTATAAGGAGTATTGAAGTTGTACATGGTAAGGTTATTTAGTCACTTCCTAGAACAATAAGCAGTGCAGTGCCTCACTCTTCGCATGTGAGCAATTCCGATTTTTAGCTATGCAAATGAAGACCAAACCTACAGGTAGCTGTGTTGCTGTCTAGATAAGAAAAAAGTCTGAAGAGGAATGGTGACAAAGATGTTATTATAGCTCGCAAAAAACAAACACATGCACGCTTGAAACTGTTCCTCAAGCTCCTGAACAAAACAAAAAAGGAAAAAGGGACGGTGGAAAGAAGTATTGTTGGTAGACAACAAGTTGGATGCCAGTGTGTTGTTATGGTCCTAGGATAGTAATTCAGGATGCATTTTGCTGAGTAATTAGTTCAGTGCATATCCTATACAAAAATATCAGATTGCCTGGAGTATGCCTTGGTGCAAAGAAGCAATGACCACAATCCCTTTGAAATTATAAAAACCATCATTTATTCAAATCTGCCTTGAGTTCTTATTGAAACTTGTGGGTTTCTGGTAAGATACTGAGCAGAAATAAAGAAAAAGGAGATTCTCATTGGCTTTAGAGGGAGACTGCAGAATTTGCTTTGGTTAGGGATTCTCATTAGTTTATTTTAAAATGCCTATATTAGATGGCAAATATATAAATATGTGTGATACGTAGATTCAAAGAATCAAGCAGCTAGCTCTGAGAGGTCCAAATGTCAGCCTGTTTTTGAATTGAAATGACTTTAGGTGTATCTCAAGCAGTTTTTTGTATTCCACTCAAGATGTATTCCTTTATTGCTGCTGAATATGCAGTTTTGGGTAAAATAAGGACACTTTTAATTTCTATTGAATTCACTAGAACAGTGTTAAGCACATACTGTCCTGCCCCACTGAAATGCAAATGATTTGCTTTACTTAAATACAGACTCTTGTGATTGCTGCCTGTAAAATTATCATGGATTTTTATTGATTTTGCTTCAGGAAAAGAGACTGAAAAAGCCAAAGATCGCTATGATAAAGCCACTATGAAACTCCACATGTTGCACAATCAGTATGTGTTGGCACTGAAAGGAGCACAACTGCACCAACATCAGTATTATGATACTACACTTCCTCTGTTCCTTGACTCCTTACAGAAGATGCAAGAAGAAATGATTAAAGCACTGTAAGACTCACTTCCCCCCTGTACTGTTCATCTGTGAAACGATATGTATTTCCTTTAATTTATCAGTTATGTTGTGTTCATAGAATCATAGAGTTGGAGGGGGCCATACAGGCCAGTTTGATGTAGTGGTTAAGAGCACGGATTCTAATTTGGGAGAACTGGATTTGATTCCCTACTCCTCCACATGTAGCCAGCTAGTGTGACCTTGGGACAGTCGTAGGTTCTTTCACAGCTGTTCTCTCAAGGACAGTTCTCAAAAGACCTCTCTCAGCCCCACCTACCTCACAGGGTGTCTGTTGTGGGGAGAGGAAGGGAAGGAGATTGTAAGCCGCTTTGAGACTCCTTCAGGTAGTGAAGGGTGGGGTATAAATCCAGTCTCCTCTTCTCCTTCTCCTTCCCCTCCTCCTCCTCTTGCTCCCCCCCCCGCTCAATACAAGATCAGCCTAGAGCATCCCTGACAAGAGTTTGTCCAGCCACTGCTTAACGACTGCCAGTGAGGGAGAGCTTACCACCTCCCTAGGTAGCTGATTCCACTGTTGAACGACTCTTTCTGTAACAATTTTTTTCCTAAGATCCAGCCGGTACCTTCCTGCCCTTAATTTAAACCTGTTATTGCGAGTTCTGTCCTCTGCTGCCAACAGGAACAGCTCCCTGCCCTCCTCTAAGTGACAGCCCTTCAAGTACTTAAAGAGAGCTATCATGTCCCCCTGCAGCCTCCTCTTCTCCAGACTGAACATTCCCAAGTCCCTCAGCCTTTCCTCACAGGGCTTGGTCTTCAGGCCCCTGATCATGTTTGTCACTCTCCATAGAAATTGTAAGGTTTTTTTTTCTGCTAAGTGATGGATATTCTTTTTGTGGAAGGAACCTTTCTGTGAGCAGGATGGTGAAATCTTGCTGTGGAAGAACTGCTTCTGCAGAAAGGAACTTTAGGATCAATAACATATGCTGCTGTTCTTGCCCACGAGTGCTGTTTTACTGTGGTCATAAACTGTCATTAGTCTTTTATATTCAATGAAGGGATAAGATAGTAGTTGTCTGTGTCTCTTTTGCAGTCTCCATCCTATAATGGGTCTGTTAAGGTAAATGAAACTGTATTGTGGATTTTTTAAAAAAAGTATAGCTACTTGTTTAGACATTCTAAAACTAGGTATTCCATCTTCAAACAGCTGCTGAAATATTAATGTCTTGAAATAAATGCAGATGGCATTTTTAATTTTTGAAGTAAATTATTTTGAAGTAAATTATTAAGTTGGAACCTTTGACTTTCGCAAAGTGTCTGACTTTGTTTGTCCTCTCTCTCTCTCTCTCTCTCTCTCTCTCTCTCTCTCTCTCTCTCTCTCTCTCTCTCGTGTGCGAGTGAGAGAGTGAAAGAAACAGAAGCTTTCCCTTTTTTCTATCAGCAACAGAGAGTACCGTTATTCCTGTCTGCATAAAATTGGGCCTGCCTGCCTTTATCTGTTCAGTGGTTTAGATTTGCTTAGGTCTCTAGGGAACACTTTGTAACAGTAGTATTTCTCTTGCCTTATAAAACTTGTTTAGATGGGCCAAACAAATGGATATAGATACCCAATGTAATAGTTTAGCATTATATAGACTCTGATCAGCTTGCACAATGCTGACTGTTCAGAATCAGCTTCCTAGTTGCTGGGACATAAGAAGAACCAGAGTGGAATTGACCATAGAGCCCTCTAGTCCAGCATTCTGTTCACACAGTGGTTGACCAGCTGCCTCTAGGGAGCCCGTGAGCAGGGTGACTGCAACAGCATTCTCCCACCTGTGTTCCCCAGCAATTCATGTAAAGAGGCATTTTGCCTCTGCTGCTGGAGGGAGTAGATTCCAATATGGCTACTAGCTATGATGGTTTAGTAGCAATCGATAGCTCCATCCTCTATGCATTGTCCACTCTTCTTTTAAAGGCTTCCAAGTTGGCTGTCTGTCTTCAGTTTGTTAGTCATATGAAAGTGGCATTGAATATGAAGTATGCATCAGACCGAAGATTTATATTCATATACGTTGAAATCACACGATAAAAACAGACCTGCATTCAACAAGTAGCATATGGCATACAACTGAACTCTTTTGTCTTGCACTTTCCTGGTTCCTGCTTAGCCTGAACCTATAGCAAGTTCATCAAAGTCAGATTCTGATGAATAGGATACATTATACTAAATAAATACCAGGAGGATGTGTGGAGTTAAGGTAATGTTTGTTCATCTTTTCCCTCTTCAGTACAGCTGAAACACAGAGCAGAGGAGAAGAGATAAGGCAGTTGGTCTTGTAATTTCACTTTTCTCTTACCCTTCATCCGTAGTTCAACAATGAGGGGGGAGGAAAAGGGAACAGTTATAGCATCATGTCTCCCACAAAACTTTCTCACAAAGCTTTCCTTCCCAATTCAAAAGAAAAGGAGGAGTGGAAGGAAGGGGGCCTGTGCTGTTGAGTTGTTCACTTTGCTCTCCTGCTTTTCCTGCTTTGGAATGATACGCAGGTGAAAATAAGAGAGAGCTCTTGCTCTTCACGGCCTCCTGATCCTCCAACATCTGGGAGTAACTGAGAGTTTTGAATGCAAAGCTTTAAATGCCCAACAAGGGATTGAAAGTCAGAAAATTGAGAGATCGTTTACTTTTTTCATAAACTTTAGTCCATAAATTAAGTTCTCCTGGATTTGCTTTACATGGTTTTCTTTTTTTCGTAGAAAAGGGATTCTTGATGAATATAGTCAGATCACCAGTCTGGTAACAGAGGAAATAGTGAATGTTCATAAAGAGATCCAGACTTCTGTTGAACAGATAGACCCTGGTTCAGAGTACAATGGCTTCATAGAGGCTCACAGGTAAACGTTATATTTCTTTTCTTCCCCTCTTAACTCTGTAATCTGTTTTAAGTATTAACACTGGTAAATAGCAGATAACTTGTCCAAGGGCCCTCTGTAGTGCAACAGCAAAGTAATCGTGTGTGAAAACTGCCTATCTTTACCAAGAGGCAGTTAACACACACAGTTTATCCTGTACAGTTGCTTTAGATATAGACACTTGCTTTATTTTTTATTATTTTTATTATTACATTTCTACCCTGCTTTCCCCGCAAGCGGGCTTAGGGCGGCTTACAATAGGACACCATGTGCCAAGCATAAAACAACATAAAAACAGGATAAAACAATCTACGTTAAAATGCTCAGTGGTTACAGTCAAAATTTAACAAGATGGAATCAGATTTGCAAGATGGGCTCCCCAGTATTTTACATAACAATAGGGAGATTAAGACCCATAGATGTTACTCAACCCCATCCAGTGGTACTAATCACAGCGAAGTCATGGTTGATCTTCATGGGGCCACCCCTCAGGTCTACCAATGGTGGTAATGGTAGTAGTAGTGGTGGCTCTTACTCACAAGACTCCACAGCTTAGAGGGAACATTGCTTGGGATAGCCACGTACCATTTTCTTCCATCCTGGTGAAGGTAGAACTGCCCTTTTCTTGCACAGATATATTTGTAGGGCTTGGAAAGATAGCCAGGATAGCCCCAGAGACCTCTTTTTGGCTGGGGAAAGTACTCTGTGGGTGTGTGCGTGCATGTATGCATACTTAAGCAATTATTAAGTAATTGCTCAAAAGCCTGATGGAAGAGCTCCATCTTGCAGGCCCTGTGGAACTGTAAAAGGTCCTGCAGGGCCCTGATCTCCTCTGGGAGCTTGTTCCACCAGGTAGGAGCTGCCACAGAAAAGAACCTGGCCCTTGTTGCAGTAAGCCTGTCCTCCCTGGGGCCTGGGGTCACCAGGCGATGTTGTGTCCCCGACCGAAGTTCTCTTTGGGGCATATATGGGGAAAGGCGGTCCCTCAGGTATGTCGGACCCTGGCCATATAGGGCTTTAAAGGTAATCACCAGCACTTTGAAGCAAATCCGGTATGCTATAGCAGCCAAGTGCAGCGCTTTCAGCACAGGCCGGATGTGCTCCCACCTAGGGATTTGTGACAAAGGCAGCCCCATGTAGAGAGCAATATAGTAGTCTAGCCTCGAGGTGACCATTGCATGGATCACTGTAGCCAAGTCATCACGGTCGAGGAAAGGAACCAACTGCCAAATCAACCGAAGATGGTAAAAGGCCGATTTGGCAGTGGCTGCCACCTGGGCCTCCATAGTTAAGGCAGGATCCAGGAGCACTCCCAAACTTCTAACCTCGGACCCTGGCACCAAAGGTGCCCCATCGAAGGTCGAAAGCGGGAGCCCCAATCCCGAACCAACCCGACCCAAGCACAGGACCTCCGTCTTCGCTGGGTTTAGTTTCAGCCAGCTCAGCCTGAGCCACCCAGCCACGACCTGTAAGGCCCGGTGGAGATCTTCTGGGTCGGAGTCCAACTGGCTGCCCAACCTCAGAAAGAGCTGGGTGTCATCCGCATATTGATGACACCCAAGCCCATACCACCGGGCAATCTGGGCGAGGGGTTGCATGTAGATGTTAAACAACATCGGGGAAAGCACTGCCCCTTGAGGCACACCGCATTCGAGTGGGTGCCTCCGGGATTGCTGTTCCCCTAGCACCACCCTCTGTCCCCGACCTTGGAGAAAAGAGGCAAGCCATTGAAGGGCGGGCCCCTGGATCCCCGCGTCGGCAAGGCGGTGGGTCAGCAACTGGTGGTCGACCGTATCAAACACGGCTGACAGATCTAACAACAGCAGAGCCGCCACACTGCCCCGATCCAGATGCCTCCGGAGGTCGTCAGTAAGGGCGATCAGCACTGTCTCTGTCCCATGCCCCGGGCGGAAGCCAGATTGAAATGGATCAAGGACGGAATCATCATCCAGAAAGCCCTGTAGCTGAGTTGCCACCGCCCTCTCGATCAATTTGCCCAAATAGGGCAAACTGGACACCGGCCAACAGCTGGCTAATTCAGCCGGGTTCAAAGTTGGTTTTTTCAAGAGAGGGCGGACCAACGCTTCCTTGAGTGCCTCAGAGAACCGCCCCTCTGAGAGGGACTTGTTGACAGTCTCCCTCAAGGCACCCGGAAACCCCTCGTGGCCCACTTTAATGAGCCAGGAAGGGCACGGATCAAGGCCGCATGTGGTTGGGTGCACAGATACAAGCAATCTGTCGACTTCCTCTAGGCTGAGCTGGTCAAAACACTCTAAACCCAAAATCGAAGACGTGCAAGGGGCCTCGAGTTCACTAACTGTTTCAACTGTGGCAGGGAGGTCATGGCAGAGCGCCAAGACTTTATCCGTGAAATAGCTCGCAAATGCCTCACAGCCAATATCCAATTCCCTACTGTTTTGTCTGCCCTGTGGCAGATCCGTCAGAGACTGAATCATTCTAAACAATTGGGCTGGGCATAAACTTGCAGATGCAATCGTAGCTGTGTAGAATTCTCTCTTCGCAGCCTTGACTGCCATCTCATAGGATCCCATAAACATCCTATCAGATGCTCTTGTTGCCTCGTCGCAGGCACGGCACCACCGTCTCTCTAGCCGTCTTAGCTCTCGCTTCATAAGCCGCAATCCCTGGGTATACCAGGGGGCTAGGCTAGAGTGCATGTGCAGAGGGCGCCGGGGAGCGATCTTGTAGATGGCCGTGGAAAGTCGGCTATGCCAGTCTTCTACAAGTACATCCAACGAGCTGCCAGGGGGCATCGGATCCTGCAGGGCTATTTGAAACCGCACTGGGTCCATTTGGCTCCGCGGGCGAGCTAAAATCTGCTTGCTGCCTAAACAGGGTCGGGGTGGAACGTTCACACGGGCCTTCAGGGCATAGTGGTCCAATATGGAATTCACTGCCACAGGAAGTGGTGGTGGCTACAAGCATGGACGGCTTCAAAAGGGAATTAGATAAGCATATGGAGCAGAGGTCCATCAGTGGCTATTAGCCACAAGGTATAGATAGGGGCTCTGGGGCAAGGGATGCTCTGTCTTCTTGGTGCTTGGGGGGGGTCAACAGTGGGAGAGCTTCTTGGTGCTTGGGGGGTGGTGGTCAACAGTGGGAGGGCTTCTAATGTCCTGGCCCCACTGGTGGCCCTCCTGATGGCACCTGGTATTTCTGGCCACTGTGTGACACAGAGTGTTTGGCCTGATCCAACATTGGCGTCTCTTATGTTCTTATGACCATGTTACTGCTACTGCAGTAATCCGGTCTACTGTAATCCCCATTGCGAAGATCAAATCAAGCATGTGCCCGGCCTGATGCGTGGGGGTCGACACATATTGGGAGAGTCCCAGTGATGTCATGCTTGGGTAGCTGAAGCTGTGAACTATGTTTCCTTTTAATCTATTAAGATAACTGCAATACACAAAAGAGAGATACATTATTTTACTTGCTAATAAAATGTTTTTAAAAGCTTTACTGCTGTGTAGCTGGTAAAGTTTAGAAGTTCTCTACCAATACAGAAAACCTGTGTAATGTAAGATGTAGGTATGTATGGGAGGGTCTGAGGAACATTCCTGGCAGCCTTTAGCTTATCATAGTATTATTTCAAATGAGCAGGTTTTGTAAAAGGCTACTGCATAGGCAAGTAGTGAAAGCTGAAGGGTTGTAGGCTGGAACAAGGTAGAGAAGAGGAATGCGAGAAGGGTAGAAAATAGATACGATATGAGCAGTGGCATGGCAGAAGCCTTTTAGTTAGTATGATGAGTCAGTGGCTGCAAGAATTGTTAGCTCCTCTTAAGGGGCTGGATCAGGACAAAGTGTTAGCCTGCAACTGTCCAGCCTAGTGTGGAAGGCTGTATGTTCTGGCAACATTAAGGGTGCTGACTCATTATCTTCTACAGCCACAATTCCTAATAATTTTCTGCTTCGCCTTTTGGCAGTATCTCGTGTCTCACCCCTGGCAATACCTAGAGAATGAGTCATCCTAATAACACAAATGGAATCTTATATCTTTCTGTTGTTGCATGGTCAAAAAAGCAGCCAAAAGTGATGTTATATTGCTTAACAATAGATTCTTTTTATTAAATATACAAGTTGCATAGAAAACAGAGACCTTGTATTTCTGATACTCAGCTGTTTTGCATTTCTAAAGGACGCCAGATGTTGTACAACAAGAAATTGAGTTTGATACATCTTTATTGGAAGAAAATGAAAATCTTCAAGCTAATGAAATTATGTGGAATAATTTGACAGCTGAAAGTTTGCAAGGCATGTAAGTAATTTAAATAGTCTTTTTTTTCTTCCTGTGTGAATATGCACTCTGAGTCACATATGTCCAAATTCTGCAAATGCAGTCAGATGTATAATGTGTGGTCATCACACTTTACAAAAGCAGGCATAAGTGAACTATTAAGGTTGTTAAATTCTGCCGTATATATTAGCAGTATGCTTAAATGGTGAAGGTGCAGAGTACGGGCAATTTGGTTAAGCCTTGTACTTCATATTCCATATGACTGGTTGTTTGTGCAGTGTGATTTAAAAAGTATTGTTCCAGTAATGCGTTCTAAGGTCGTTAAAAATTAGATTTTACCTGCTGACATTCAAACTAAAAAGTTTGTACCATCTAGATTGATTGCTCTTTCTCTCCCCAACCCTGGCAACCTAGCCTGAAAGTGATAATGACAGAAAAATGAGGCACCCTTTACAGCCTTTCAAGCCATCACAGATAATGGGAGGCACTTAGGTGTGTTTGAACAAAAAATATATGAATTTTGAAACTTCTCCACTTAGTCAAGTGAACTCCCTTTATAGGATTAGTTATGTCTTATTAGTGTGTGCATGTGTGTGTTCTTAGTTGTATTGGGCTGTCATATTGCATTCATTAGCTGACATTTAGTCAATAATTGTTCCCTTTGCTGTTTATTGAATGGTTGCTGGTCTGTCTTCAACTGTTTCATTTAGTCTTAGTGTTTTTTATTCAAATGGGGATTTAAAATTAATAATTCTAATGATGCTTTTATAATCTGTTTGAAAGATTACAAGATTATTTGCTTACTCTGTGTTTGATGGAGCAAGTTTAACAAAAACATCACATCTTGGCACAGTGAAGAGAAGCAATTCCTGAATTATGTACAGGACACAGAAGAGAGCATCCTGAGTATTAGCATGACAATCCAACAGTATCTCTCAATAAAAGAAAATAAAACATCTGTATTCATCTTAAGAAAAGTTGGGTGGGGAGGAATATTGTGAGTAATAGTTTTAAAATAACTAGGCCATCCCTTTTCCTCTGCAATTCCTAATCATATCTGTAAAAAAAAGAGTTTACATGATTATAAAGGACACACGTTTAGAGACAGGTTAAATGCCCTGTTTCATTCTGTTCTTTACCTTTCTATAAGTTTCTTCAGCCTTTTCTCCTACAGTCTGTCTGTGAGATTCATTATTTTCCTTATGCCTGGCTTGGGGAATGTTCTTGGGTTGTGTACATTAGCCACAGTTCAGAGAGGTCTCTGTGGAATTATCCAAGTACTTCTGTGCACCCAGTGAGATGTTTCACTTTATTTTTTTTTAAGAGCAGTCCACCATGCCTATTACAAACCATATTTATAAATTCAAGTGTTGTCAATGATCATCAAGTGATATGGAGGCTCCAGTTTTGCGGGGAAAACGCCACCCAGGCATGTAGGCCTAATCACATGGTTCAGTGAACTGTTGATATATATATTCCTTGAGCGGTGGTTCCCCAAATATATCACTTTATTAAAGTCAAAAATCCCACTAGTGCAAAATAGATCATTGTTCATGTTCAGACTGCAGTAGAAATGGAGATTCTTCTCATTTAAACTCCACCTTTCCTTCAAGAAGACAAGTGAGATAAGCACACTAGTTTGAGAGTGGATTTAGACAGCTACAGCAGCAATTATGAATTTTGAAAGGAGGAAGTGACCTCACAGGAAGGGGTAGGGTTTTTTAAAGGAGGGTGACCTGGAATTGACATCACAAGAAGGGTGAATTTGGGGCAGTGGCCCAGCAGTGACATCACAGTGCTTAGGGATGTGACCTGGAAGTGACATTACATCCTTGCTAAGCCCTGCCCTGAAAATCTCCAGGTATTTCATGAGTTGAATCTGGCAGCCCTAGACCAAGGCAATGAAGGGCTTTGTATGTGATAGTCAATACCTTGAATTGAGAATGGTAATTGATGGGCAGCCAATGGAATGACTGAAGAATGGGACTGATACTGTGTTTTGTTATCCATCAACAATATATAACTTCTCTGAAAATGTGTGATGAATGGTAGAAATAGAGGGAGATGGAGTTGAATAACGGAATGACTAAGTAATTTGTTTTGTTTTACTTAACGGTTCAGGTCTGAAAGTTTATTCAGGTTTTTAAAGTAATAGATGATGAGGCATATATGTTTAAATAGTTCGGATGTGATGATTCTAATCTCAATACAGTTGGTTGACCTAATAAACCTTCAAGCCCTTTCCTTTCTATGAGATATCTCATTGTGCAAGCTGCTTATTCTGGGACTGTAGTTTAGATTTATCAGCTTGAGTTTAATATACAAATATTTGCTGGTGACAGTATTTCAGACATGCAGTAATTAGTCATGTTGGATTTATTATTGTTTTTATCTTTTACTGTTGCTGGAAAAAAACCTGTTTCTAAATAACAATTTTCTTTTGTAGTAATTTAACTGCCCCCAACAGCTATAGATTAATTTATCTGTATTTGAATGAATTTTAGAAAGCTACGGCAAAGAAGTCTGGAGTTTTGTGTCAGAGCATTCTCTGTATTAAAAGGAGAGTCCTTATATATATTGTTCGACATGGGTACCTTATTATATTGTTGTGAATATTATTATATTGTTGTGAATAAAAATACCTTATTATATTGTTGTGAATAAAAATATGAGCTGTATTATGAATAGCATGTCCTAATCAGAACAGATTTTATTTATTTATTTTTACCACATTTTATACAGTATTCTCTTTTGTGCAGTAGCGGAGCAGTTTGCAATAAAACATTCACTGATATTTTACCATAAAATACATCTAAAGATTAAAATAACACTGGCTAATAATACAGTAAAAATTCATAAAACATCAATAGTATAAGAGCAAATTCTTTAAAAAGAATCCAGTCAACAATTAGCAGACACAGGCGGGGGCAATTCCACAAAATTTAGCCAAAGGTCTAATGAAACAGAGCAGCCTTGCATGCCTTGCAGAACACAAGAAGATCCCAGAGAGCATGGGCCTCATGAGGGAGCTAATTCCAAAGGGCAGGAGCAACAACTGAAACCCTGGTGGAAGAGAAATGGCCAATCTGGGGGCCAGGCACTTTCAGGAAGCTCCAAGATGCTGACTGGAGGGGGTCACAGGGGGTTTACCAGGTATGAAGGCCCCACACTGTTAAGGGCTTCATAGTGATACAAAAATCTGCCTGCGTGCTCCCATTGCCAAATTGGAAACACACAGTCGGAGTCCAACAAGTTAGATGAATATCTGTTTAATGCATTGAAACAGGGAATACAGGACTGAGTGCCTTTGCACTTCAGCAATTCCAAAGCTGCCATAACCAGGAAGGGCAGAAGGTCTTATACCCCAAATGACATCACATATAGTTTTCACATTAAAGGGTCTCTAATTGGTACCAGGCAGTTAACATCATACAAGCATAATTTGACTTTAAACCTTACTATTGGTTTCTCCTTATACTGGTCATGTATTGTCAGTGATTGCGTTTGTTTATCTGTTCTCCAGGATAATGGGAACATTGCTATTTCTTCCATCTTAGACTGTATTCAGAGAAGTGGAAAGAAGCAGATGCTAAATATAGTCAAAGCATATTTGTGATCAGAGCATATATAGTTTCTTTTAATTGAAACCATAGGTTGAAAACAGTAGTAGAAGAACTCATTCAGACGCAGCAGATGCTTCTAAACAAGGAGGAGCTTGTTTTGGAACTAGAAAAAAAGATTGAAGAGTCTTCAAAGATCTGTGAAAGGAAATCGGAGTGAGTAGTAGAAAGATGTTAAATCTTGAAATTATAATATACCATAAGAACATACGAACATAAATGACGCTAATGTTGGATCAGGCCAAAGGCCCATCCAGTCCAACATTCTGTATCACACAGTGGCCAGAAATACCAGTGCCATCAGGAGGTCCACCAGTGGGGCCAGGACATTAGAAGCCCTCCCACTGTTGACCCCCCCAAGCACCAAGAAGACAGAGCATCCCTTGCCCCAGAGCCCCTATCTATACCTTGTGGGTAATAGCCACTGATGGACCTCTGCTTCATATGCTTATCTAATTCCCTTTTGAAGCCGTCCATGCTTGTAGCCACCACCACTTGCTGTGGCAGTGAATTCCATGTGTTAATCACTCTTTGGGTGAAGAAGTACTTCGTTTTATCCGTTCTAACCCGACCGCTCAGCAATTTCATTGAGTGCCCATGAGTTCTTGTATTGTGATTGGATTTAGTATGTGGATTTAGTATGTGGAATCTTTTAGAGTAGTTTATATGTAAGTGTGCCAAAATAGTGCATTTTAATTTCTTCTTCTTCTTGAAATTCTCAGACTTTTATTTGACAAGAACTGAAATAGGTATGACCTTTATGCATTTGTAATTATTGATAGCAAATAATAGTACCCCGTGTTGGATGGATATACTGGAATTAAGAGGTGCAGGTGGGTAGACCACAGAAAATAGAACCAAAATTTTCTGTGCCCCCCCCCCCCGCTTCCAAGTAAGGTCATTAAAGGTAAAATGTCTGTGTGCTTGTAATCACATCTGCTTTATGCCCATTAAAGGGAATTTGAGCAACTGCTTTCCTTAGGTGTTTTACAAGCTTGCCTTTCACAAAGGGTGAAACCAGTCCTGCACCAGAAACCTACCTGTATAGTGGTGCTTATATCACTCTTACTTTTTTTTTGTCCCTCTTGTGTCCAGTTAATTATATTCCCTTTCTCAGTGTGGTATGGACACAGAGATACTAACCCCTGTCTTCAACTCTGCTGTATGGTGTTCCTTCTGTTGCCCACTCCCCTTCCCCTACCTTTACATCTTTTATTATTGCGTACTCACTCAAGCCCCAGAGTATTCTTAGATTTCTGTCCCTGTCCCAAGGAATATATACACCCAACCTTGTAACAAATGTCCTGCTTGTAGTCTATTTCTGACAAGTATCCCTTAGGTAGAAAAATACAAAACCATCCAATATTTTTTGTGATGATTATTGGTCTACACTGTTGAAGTTTGTGTTGTTACGAATAAAGATTTTTGAGGTATTCTGTGGCAGGTATTTGTGAGAAAAATACATTAAAGATGTATTATTCTGCATAGTCTTGACAAAAATGCTGGCCAGTTCTTTTCAGAGCTAATTTTGTCCTCTTCTTTTCAGTGTTGTGCTTCTCCTCAGTCAGAAGCAGGCACTGGAAGAACTGAAGCAAACAGTTCAGCAATTAAGATGCACCGAAGTCAAGTTTGCTGCTCAGAAAGAACTTTTAGAAAAAAAAGTTCAAGAAAATGATGGGAAAGAGCCCCCACCTGTTGTAAATTATGAAGAGGATGCCAGATCAGTCTCTTCTATGGTAAATTCTATATTTATTATTCTATGGCATAATGTTGTACCATTTGCAAGGATTTGTGATTAACTCAGGATTATGTTACAGTTAGAGACACACTCAATGGTGTTTTACTCTTTTGCTGAATATTATCCCTTCTTATAAGTTGTTTGAAAATTTGTCAAAAATCATGGATGGAAGTTTGTTCTGTTATGCCCCCTAATCACAGACTGCATGGTCCTGTCTTTTGTCTGCAAGACAATAAAATGAGGCTACCCACAGACAATGTAGGGGACTCCACAGGAGCAATGAACCATACTAGTTTTTGAGTTAAAACAACATCCCCTCAAGCATGACTTGATAAGGCCTGATTATGTTCATTGCCTTTTAGCAAACATGGAATGTTGAGGGTAGTTGAGTGCCCATTAGGAGGAGGGAAAACAGAAAATAGAAAAAAAGGTGGGGGCAGAGAAGTAGAAGAAATGAGCTTTAATAAGCTCATACAAGTTTATAGTACCTGGGAAGGGGGCAAATTTGAATTGGGTGAAGGGGATGTATGCATTGGTGAAATGTGGACTGGTGGGACATTAATCCCTTAAACCCTCATCCTCTTTGCCCAGTTCCACCTCAGCTAGATAATGTAAGTTTTTAAGAATTTCTGATTTAAAGTTAAGAGTTCAGGCAGGAGGATTAATTAGGTTTGACGGGAAAATGCATCATCTGATCCTAATTACATTCCTGTCTCTAGTGACTCCAGAGTAACTAACAATGTAAAGTATATTGGAAATGGGGCTGAAAATAAGGTCAGGGTGCATGTCCTGGATAACACAAAAATGTGCTCAGGTTTGAGGCTTGATAAGTGGCTTCTCCGTCAATTAGTCCAAATCTTAACAGTCAGCGCATTAGTGAGCATTAGCTTTGATAGCTCAAAAATGTAAATTTATTCGGAGCTGGCATACCCTTGATTACTAGATGCAAGATCACAATGCACAGAAAGTGCCTGCCACCATCATTCACTGTCTGTTTGCTGCTGGCCAGGGATTGCTGGTCTACACGGGGGTTTGGTCTGTTGTTAGCATGACATTTATTTATCTTTGTAGTAGAGTGGTTGAGTAGACTATGCAAAAAAGAGTATGCTAGAGTTAACAAGGTCTTTGGATACAAAATTAATCTAAAACAGAAGGGTTACCTTTGGTTTAACCATGGATATGACCACTAGAGAAGAAATTGCTTCTATATTTTGTATTGTGGGCTACAAGCCCAATAAGAGACTTAGCATTTGGCTAATTTTATCTGTAGCAGACTTTTTTGTTATTATGTAAAACTGTGGAGTAAAACCAAAAAAGATTTATAAAGTTGATTAAAGCTATAAAATTTACTGGTTCAGGAAAATTACTAGTATCAAGGTGATGATTCTCCATTATTTATAGGAGGAGGAAGAAGAAAGAACAAGAATCATCCTTAAATGGTTCCAGAGTAGGTTAACCTTTATTGGGCTAATCTCAGAAAAAATACAGAGACCATTAGCAAGTTATATTCATTGAATTAATATCTGTAATGGGGGTAGGGCTTCAGTGGTTTTGCTAAAATAGTTAACATCTGCAGTGAGTGAGAAATCCCAAGTCTTCTTTCATACCAGGAAGAATGGTAATGTGTTGTGTGAAAAAATATTTTCAGTGGGAAATTTTTGACTCCATATATGTAAATATAATCTGTTTATCTATAACTGTCAGGCTGTTGTGTTGCAGATCAATCATGTGAGATGGGCTAAATGTGGGATATGAAGCATGGACAAACTCCAGTGCTTGTACATAGTCCAGGCCTGTACATGTATTTCTGTTCCCAACATATAAATATTTAAATCTGAATCAGAAAATCTGCTAGAAAATTTCCCATGAAAGAAAATTGCTGTTTAACTCTGTTGTGCTCACTCATGATTGCATGGGAAAATGAAATTTCAGGATTCTTATGAAAATAATTGTTTTTACCTTTCATTCTTCTCCTTAGAAATGGGATTACATTTTTAAATTGCAAGCTGAAGAGAAATTGTTTTAATTCCAAGATGTAAATTTAGAATATAGTGATAATTGCATTTTTAACTTGTAGCCTTTCCAAGAAGAATCTCCATGTTGATAAACTTCTCTCCTACTCATTTGCATGTTTCAGCTAATCCACATACTGAATATCAGTGATTCTAAAGAATAGCAGTAAAGAGAAATTTTTAATTGCAGTTGTTTTAAAACATTTGTGTAAGCATTTTTGTATAAGTGACTCCAAAGTGAGATCTTTAAAATGGTTGTGATGGAAGTGGAAACTGGAAATAGTAATCTCCATTTTGATATGGTGACTGTTTTTTAAGAATACTCGTCTGATTTTACCTCATGATTGAATACAGTATTTATTTACTGTTGCAAATAAATTGGAAACTGTCAAATGTATATTTCAAAAGGAGTAAAAATAGCCCAGGTAACTGAGAAGTCTTTGCTGAAGTTAAATGAAAAGGTATCTAAGGATATGGAAGAAAATAAGATGTTTTTTTAATCTCACTAGAACATTTAGTGAGACAGTAATATATAATCTCTTTGACCAAGTTGGCTGGGGCTCCTTCTGTTTTCATGGTTCATAGATAAGGGAGTTAGGCTGAGATGATGTTTCTGTTTATCTTTTTCACTTTGAGTTTGGTAAAAGTAAGTTCCGGGACTTTTCCCACCAAGAGGTTGGTTGCAGTAACTCTCTTCCACTAAGTGAGAAGCCTTCCTTTTGCAGAAGGAGTTTTACCTGGATAGCTCAGGCTAGACTGATCTTGTTGTATCTTGGAAGCTAAGCAGGGTCAGCCTGGTTAGCGTTTCATTGGAAGATCACTGAGGAAAACCAGGGTCAGTGTGCAAAGGCAAGCAACAGCAAACCACCTCTGAATGTTTCTTGCCTTGAAAACAATGGAGAGTGGCCATATCAGCTGTGAACCCACAGCAAAAACAACAACAACTGAGGTGCTTCTCTCAGAGGCTGGCTTATACCATACAGAAGGGAATGATTGTATTCAACTCATTATTTGTTCTCTTCCTTGTCCAGTTCTCCTACAATGTCCAGTTCTCCTACAACACCAGTTCTTAGAACGTAAGAAGAGCCATGCTGTATCAGGCCAGTAGTCCAACTTCCTCAGCGTTTGGTCCCACACAATGACTAAACAATTGCCATAGAGGGTAAATAGAGCATAGAAGCCAAGCCCTTTCCCACCTTCTAACAGAGGTATTCAGATGTCTATTGCCCTGAAGACAGGAGGCTATCACTACATCTACTGGCAATGAACCACAGTGTATCTTCTCACTGAGTAAAGAAGTGTTTCCTTTCATCTATCCTGGACCTATTCACCTGAGTACTAGTATTATGGGAGAGAGGGGAAAAACCTCTCTGTCCACTTTTCCTACCCTATACATAACTGTATAAACCCAGATTCTTCAGCCTTTTCTCATAGGAAAGGTGCTCCAGCCCCTTAATCATCTTGGCTGGCTTCTTCTGTATTTTTTCCAGCTCTGTGGTACGTTTTTTGAGACACAGCAAGCAAAACTGTTCACAGTACTGCAAACAAGGTTGCACCATAGATCTATGCAGGGGCACTATAATACCGTCATTTCTATTTTCAATTCCTTTCCTAATCACGGAGTTTCCTTTTTTGCCATCACTGCACACTGAGTCAAGCCATCCAATACCAAAATCTTTCAGTCTTGGTTTCATTATATATTTGAAACTAGGTTTTTTGTTCTAATTTGCATCACCTTATATTTACCAGCACTGCATAATCTGTGTCAATACAGGTTTCAGTAATTCGTATCAAACTATCTGTGCAAGAAAGGCATATGGCATTTTCCTGCATTCTCGATTCCTGTAGCACTTTCTGAATCCTGGGAAGGTTATTTATTTTCTATATTAGAAGCCTACTGAAACCCTACATTGTATATTTTAGACATGCTAATTTAAATTTAAACATTACCATGTTAATATAACTGTGAAAGTAAAACTACAATTCTAATAAATGGAACTTATAAGATGCATAAAATTTGGACTAATATGCCAGTAGGTGGAGCTCACTGCTAGGTAAAATGGGGTGATTTAAAGAAGAATTGTGATTAAATTCACATGGTCTTTGAATATTTATGGATAACGTTAGTCCTTACCTACTGATGAAATGTACCCCCTTTTGGGGATGGCTATAGACTGACCAGCATCTTTACAGTAGTTCTTAGTTCTGAAAGTAATTTTTACTTAAGTCATTTAAGTAGGGCTTATGATGCATCTTTTACATTGAGAACTGTGTAGCGACAGACAATACAGACACAAATTTCACTCATAGACTTTATTTTTAAAAACCCTAATATACAATAAACTTTCATATAAATGATATTTCTTTATTTTATTTTTTGTATTAGAATATATATCTTTCTTTTCCATCATAGGAACTGATCTGAAGATGGGTTACACAAAACCAAAACAATAATATCAAATTAAAATAAGCTACCAGTCAAAAAGGCAGTTCCTCCAGTTTCTGTGTCAGCACCATTTAATGGCACATTTATCATTATGACTGTCACTACAGTTTATTAGTTCAGCCAGCAAAGTCCTCTTAAAGGAGACTGTCTTGTGCAAGCAGTAAAAAAAATATCATTGAGTGGGCTAGAGGGGACTTCATTTAGATATTATGATTCCAGATGATCTAGGGTTTTAAGTGTTACAACCAACCATTGGAATTAAGCCCAAGAGCTACCTAGCAACCAGTGCACATGAAACAAAAAAGGGATAAGGTGCTTCTAGTAGCTTTCCCTTCCTAACAGGTAGTTACATTCTGGAACAGTTGTGGTTTCTGTTCACAGACAGCCTCACGTATAATACTGCAGCAGTACAATCTGGACTAGGGATGGGCATGAACCGGCTCACGACCCAAAATTCGGCATGAACTTGGGCTGGTTCAGAGCTTGGGAACTGATGTTTGGGGAAGGCGCCTTCCCTAAATGTTTACCTTACTTTTGGCT